TGCGCAAGGCTCAATGGCAAGGGCAAGGTCGAGCGCGGGGGTCATGAGTCCGGAGTACTGTGCCTGCGCCTGAGCCGTCTATTACCCGAGGCATCTCCGCCAGGTGGCGCTAAACAATCCTGAATCATAGGTTTACCAGGGGTCTTTAACCTTTAGCGTCGCCGTCATCGCGGGATCCTCCAATACCCGCCTGTCATACTGCCGCGCTAAGGAAGAACGCCGTATGAGCCTTCAGGCGTTGCCAAGTTTCATTCGATAAAAACCGAATTTACTGGGAAAATTTTGAATATCTGTTTCCAACATTTTCAGACAATTTTGTACGCAATTGACTCTAAAATATCCGAAAATTTCAAAGAAAAATGTGCGTAAATTTCGTCAAAAATACATGTTTTATCGAAGGAAATTTGGCAACTTTCGAATGTTCATACGGCGTTTTTCCTTAGCACGGCAGCATAGCGAGTCTGTATGCTGCCGTGCTAAGAAAAAACGCCGTATGAACATTCGAAATTGTCAAATTTCCGTCGATAAAATGTTTATTTTTGAGGAAAGTTATCAATATTTTTTCTTTAAATTTTCAGAATCTTTTGCTGAAATTGTGAACAAAATAGTCATATGTTTACCAGGAAATTCGCGTTTTATCAAAGGAAATTTGGCAACGTCTAATGGTTCATACCGCGGTTTTCCTTAGCACGGCAGTATGGAAAAACGGCGTACGAGCCTCCTAACGATGCCATATTCCGTCCTGTAGGAACAAGCGGAAAAAGGGATGGAAATAACGACAAATAGCCAGGAGATCAGAGGAGCATGTATGTATGGCATGTGGGCGAAGAGAACAAGAAGACAATTTAAGGTGTGTAACCATAAAAACACATACTAGCGAAATCGTGCACTTCCGATAAAAATCAGAACCCAAGTAGCATTTTGCAACGAAAAAATTGCAATTTAAATGAAATAAAATTTCCAGATGATTTCAACTTTCTTGCAAGAAAATTGCAATTATTTTACAACATCTGACCCCCTCATTGTAAAAAAGTTGCAATTTTTTTTTTTGCAAAGAAATTTCAATATTGACGACCTTTAAATTTCAACCCCTAAATTTTCCGGGGAAATTATAATAATTCGAACCCATGCTTACCTAATGTCCTACGACGTTTAGCAGCATAAAATACCGGACGCCCTTGAGTAGGCTTGAACCCGACCCGCGAATGTCATAGCGGAGCATTCTTCCACTGAGCTACAGGGAGCTGATGATGAGCTGGATTGAAATCACGCCTGTTAAGGCTGTTATCGCATGCATTGCGTCAGTGCGTGGCTTAACATTCATCATAGATTTGATTAACGCCGTTTTTCTCAGGCTTCTTTCTTTTGCCTATTATTTATTTTTTTTCGTGTTATTTATTTTTTTTTATATTTTTTTTGTCTGATTTTTTTTTTCGATATCACGTAATAGGTACTCACACTAAATTTACACCGGTGTAAATTACACCACATACTAACTTGAGAACTTAAAAATATTTTCAAAAAATATTTTTAAAATATTTTCAAAAAATATTTTTAAAATATTTTCAAAACTTTCTTAAGGAATATTTTTAACATGCATGTTTACAGGCAATATTTTTGAATTATTTTAAAAATATTTTTTGTAAACATTTTCAAAATATTCCTTTAAAATGTTTTAAAAATATTTTGAAAATATCTTAATTACAATATTGCCATGAAAATATTTTGATAAAGGTGACAATATTTTCAAAATATGTTGGGCTATATGGGTTAGGTGAGACATTTAAGTCGAAAAAACTTTAAAACAACTAGAGAATTGGATGCCAGGCACATGGCGTGAATTTGTTACAACATGATTGCACCGAAATTGCAGTCTTTATAGTGCCTTGAAAAAGAAGGTTAGGCAACAAGCATAACCTACATTTCTTGCAAACTTATTGCAATAAAATTGCAACTTTTTAAGCGCCTTCAAATGAACGTATAGGCAACAAGCAAAAATTGCAATCAACTCACAATCCATTGCAATCCATGCTACTTGGGAAATAGGAAAATTAAGATGAGTTTTTTTCAAATTTTCCAGACAACGTTGTACGCAATTTAATTCAAAATATCTTGAAATAAGGAAAAACTTGCATAACCTTCCTCAAAAATACCTGTTTTACCCGGAAAAATTTGGCTATTATCAAATGTTTATGCGGACGAATTCAATGGAACATTTTTATTTTCTTCTTCTAATTTTACAGAAAATTTTTCCTGCAACTTAATTTGAAATACGTCTGAAAATGTCAAGGAAAATTATGCATAACTTTCCTCGAAAATAAATCTATTGCCGGGGGACTAGGCGATGTTTGAATGCCCATATGGTGTTTTTCCTTTGCACGACAGCACATTATACGTGATTGTCTTCATTTGAAAACTGCTCAATGGGCAAAAAAGAAAGAAGAAAATTTCAGTTTATTGCAGCCAAAAAGTGTTTTTAAGGGTCGTGTTCATCCTGTACTTATTTTCTTTCCCCAATTTTTTCTTCTTAATTTTATGTTGAAAAGATAGGTACGAAGTTCGTTTTTTTCAAGGAGTGCTCAACTTTAATGTTTGGAAATGATCATACCGCACAATCTGTTAGCCCTGAAGTTATACATTTTTGCCCACAGGCCCTATCTAAGAACTGGATTCCATTTAATTGAAATATTTTCCATTCACTAAATTTCTTTGGCTGAATTCAGTTTCCTCGTTTATTCAAATTATTTTTCTTTTTTTTTTCAGGTTGGACTTGTGACAATCAACATAAGAACAAAGTATGTAGTTCCTAGGGAGGCAAGTTTTCTTGGATTGCAAATTTTCCTCCTCTTATAGTATTCAAACAATAAAATTTCCTGGGTTTTTTTTTCTTTTTTTTTTTTGGTTTTTTTGGGCGTAATTCCTCATGAAAGTTCATTTCACTTAAATTGAAAGCTTTAAGTCTCTTGAAATAAGAAGTGCAATGTGTTGGCCTAAAAAAAAAAAATTCCCGGTTCTGCAGAAAAATTGAAATTTTTTTTTAAAAAATGAATTGTATTGAAAAAATATCTAAAAAGAAGCTTTGCTTCTTGATCAATGAATTTTCAGAGAATCAACAATGATCAATTGGACGTATTTCTGCCAAGCAGAACTATGTGCATTAAGGCATGAGCCCTGAGACCAATCAGACTATATGCATAACAGGGCTCACATCATAATTCACACAGTTCCGTTTGGCAGAAATACGTCCAATTGTGCAGTTAAAATATTTTGTATGTAAATTAAGTTGCTGATCAATTATAGAAACTGAACTGTATCTTTAGCCTGCGAAAGCAGTGCTTGTTATTTACCAAAGGAAAATAAATCAAATCAATACCTAAATTCACTGACTTTCCTCCATGATTTTTCAGGGTTAAGCCAAATTCTCTGACTTCTCAAAACTTGTCATCCTAGTTTCTCATCGTAAAATTGTAAGGAACTTAGGAATTCGTAGAAAAATTTTCCTTGATGAAAGTTAAAGAAAAGAGCACACAAAATGATAATTCAAAATATAATATATTTCTTAATATTCTGTGAATGACTGGTTCCAGCAGTTCACTATGAATAAACAATCACAGTGAGATTTTGAAATTAAAAGCACCGTATTCTATTTTCCTTTTAAAGGCCGAAGGCAGAAACAAGCCATCGCTCCTCAAGAATAGGGAAGCTAACTTAAAATTTCAAGAATAATGATGCATAAATATATCACATTATGATTTACATTACAGGTCTATGCAATAATTCTAATGTAAATGACACATTTTCGATTTTGAAAATTATTCGGAAGCCAAAACGACATTACAGAGAAATATCTTATCACTAGTGTCATGAGAGTGCTGTTAATTACATCATTATCTATTTGGTTACCATTGGGAAAGTGCCACTGAACTGTAGAGATAAGGCTTTTTCCTATTCTCCAAACTCAGCTGATGTTTTTTTTAAAAAAAAGCAATAACTTTTTTACAGAACAATCTTCGTATTCTATTAACTTCTTTACTAATTTCATCTTTAAAATTGCATCTTGGCCATTCTTCTGGCAAAACTGTACAGATGATCCTCTAATGATCAGATGAATAGACAACTCCAAAAGAGAATTTTCTTTTCAACCCAAAGGAAACAATAAGTGTAATCAATTGACTATCTTTCAATTACTTTTCATATTTTTTTAACTGCATTTTTCTCTTCATTACCTTGAGCAACGTTAGAACTTTTATACAACGAAAATTTGCATTTCAAAGAATGCGTGTGTGAATAGTGACTTGTACAATTTGATGGGCACAGGTAGAAAAACCAAAACAGAGAACACTGAATTTCGTTGATATCTTCAATTAAGATTTTTAAAAAAAGCAATAAAATCGATAATAGCTGCTCCAAAATTGCTATCGTAATAGGAACTTCAGAAGTGTTTTCTGCAAACAAACTTTTCATGTAACGAATCAAAATGCGGCTTAGAATTAAAGACAATGAACTTTTGAGATAGAGAGTGATAAGAAATGTTCCAATTTACAAACATAAATTCTTGATATCTAGGGGCAATGACATCATAAATGCTCACTGAACGATCTGGGGAGGAAAAACAATATAAAAAATTAAAAGCACTTGATGAGCAATATTACAGTCCACTGTATAATTTAAAAAAAAAAAAAAAAAAAAAAAAAAAAAAAAGATGCAATTTATCAGTAAAGTTTACAGTAAAACAGGTATCCAAGCTCTATAACTGAGGATGCCTTGCTGAAGCATACAACAGCCAAGAAGTAAATTGACTTAATACTTTGATCCATACAGTTGATTGTTTGGCCTGCATTCTGGAGAGAAAGTTTAATTGGGAAGAGGGAAAAAATTAAAGGGATAACCCTGGAGAATTTCCATTCGATAACTGAATTTTAATTTCGTTTTGATTCAACTACAGGGAGTAATTGACTGTGCTGCCATGATTCCACTTTCTGCAATGAAAAGGATAGAATAAAATATCATATTTGATGAAATCAGGTCCCAAAATTCATAAAGCCTCAGAGGAGGCAATTGAAATTTCTCAGTATCGTAAGTAAGGATCACAGCCGCAAATCTGTAGGGGTACAAGTTAAATTAGATATTGAAGAAACATAATTTTTATGTGAATTCAAAGGCACTTACGAATCTGTAGTAGTCTAATAAAGGAAAACAAAATTTTAAATGCGTAAATGGAATTTGGTCTGCCTTGAAAAAGTTGACACGATAAGAAAAGATTTCAAAAATATATACAAAAACAATGAACTATCAAAATTCATTACGTAAAGTCTCTCTAATGTCTTTGAGTATACAGATGTCTATGAAAAAAAAAAGGATTCAAGATGCGAGTGAAAAAACTCAAGTTCAATACGATAATCTTTGGTTCTTTAGGAAAATAGGTTAATATATACAGTCTGAACAATTTGAATCCTATCTAGCTATTAAATAATACGACAATTTGGAATCGATGTTCTTTAAGTGATCAGTTAAAAAAATGACGTGATGCTCATGTAAAAAAATAATATTTCAAAATATGAAACAGTATTGTCATGGAAGAGATACGTTTCGACGATGAAACTACAAATATGCGTATTTTGGTTATGGTGCTTCAAAATCTTCACTTGTATTTTACTTTTTTAAAAAGAGACCAAACCAGCATCTTTTCTTGAAATTTCCACGGAATATTCTTTACATATGGCATAAAAATCACCAAAGTTTCTAAAAAAAATGACGTTTAGTAGTTCTCTACATGGAAATTAAAGTATGATATGGCGTCTGTAACGCCGAAAACCGAGATGCACATTTCTGCAGTTTCACCATCATATTCTCCTAATGCCTAAATTAATAACAAATAGTTGATACATACATTCTGCTCTAAAATAGTACCGTTAATGTCTAATACAGTCAGTAAACAGGAAACCAAGTATTATTATAGATGAGGACAGGAAACAAGGGTCAAGGACGACTTCATTTGAGGATCAAAACGCAGCGATCCATTAACATGTTTTCCAAAATAAGCTGATGAGACTTTGCAGGATTGAAATGAGTACAAGCTGCCCGGAAAATCAAATTTTTTGAACAATGTTGCCAATAGTTCTGATCTTTCGAAAGGTGAAAATGAAATTTTTAGACGGATGCGCGTGGTAGGGGGATGATCATATTGACTTGTTTTTCCGTTGAACATTCAAATATTGTTAACAACTTTCTGCTGCACTGTCAGAAACAGATTGTAAACCGAGGAACACTTTGATGGATAACTATGATTACCCTTATTCCTGTTAACAGTCTTCGGTTTTCGATTCATACCTCGGAAAAAAATTGAGATTGTGAGCGACATAAGTTAAACAATCAATTAACTGTCAGATGTTTCAACTACATTTTACCCGTTTTATGCATCTACATTACACACTATACTTGCAACTTATGGGCATTCAACAGAGAGAGGCGCACAACTTGAACAATTCCCATTGTGATGTCTGTTTATAATTTGTTTATAAATTTAAAAACAAATTTTTTCAACAGAATGCTGTTCTGCCTTTCATCTAGTAGGAATAAACAAGAGTGAAATAACAACTTAAAATATCATTTTCACAATAATACACGAAAACGAATAATGCATAAAAACAAAAGTAATTGCCTAGTAAGAGAATAACAAGAAGATAGCAATTATGTGAGTATTGCTGATCGATCAGGAACGATCTCATTTACAGTGAGAAGCTCATCATCGCCATCTAAGTACACTTCAGTTTCTCCACTTTCCCGATTTCTAATTTGTCGGTACCGAACTCTGAGATGATGAAAGAGACCGGGGTTATGACGACTTTGATGCATGAGGATGTCGTCTGTGATCCAGAACATAAGAGCCTGAGGATTGAAAAAAAGTTATTTTAAGATACATAGTGGTGGCATCATATGATGGACTCGTGTTATTTCTAATCAAAAAGTCTGAAGTTTTGTTGACTTTCAGGACATTTGAAAAATTACGACTAGCAAGAAGATTTGTGGTAACCTAAAAGTCTTCTTCAGCTAAATTAAAAATATGGAAATAATTTGGCGTATGCTTGAAGCAATTTGATGGTGTATAAAAAATGGAACAAAGTGTTGTGGAAAACAAGAGGATATTTGCTTCACACCTCATCTTGCTCATAAACTCTCTGCTTATAAACTTGAGAATTTTTGAGTTTCCTGCTTCAAAACATAAGAAACAGCAAAGGCATAATTGAGGCACTGGATGCAAAAAGGGCACTTCCCGGTTGCAGTGTTTTAGAGTCTCCTCTAATTTTTCATTTATTGTAAGGAAAGTGAATGCATCCATTTTACTAAAAATTTTACTGAATATTCCTTATGATTCTACAGTTTTCTATGGAAAGAATTCTGGAAAAATCACCCATTGAATTCTTCTCCAAGGGATTAATTGGCAACAGAGATTCTGAAACACCGCAATCGAAAAGTGCCCTTTTCGCATCTAGTGCCTTAATTCCATTCAGACTGTTTTCGATTCAATTTTGGAAGTCAAAGTGATAGCTGTTAACGTGCTTCCACTTATGAGACGCTTTTGGGGAAGCGAGAAAGTCGAATATTGGATAATAAGTATTTGTCAAGTTCTTTGTTTTAACTGGATGAACTTGTATCACATAAAAGACGCCAGTTGGAGTTTAGGGTAAAGTTATGAAGGATCCTGTATCAAATTTTACTTTGCTGCTGTGTACTTTTTGAAGCAGGAAATTAAAAAAACTCACACATTTTTCGCACAGATTGTATAGTGAGAAGAGAATTCCAGACTTTGCCGATGCGGTTTTTGTAATTTTCAGCCATTTACCTGACAAGTCTTATTTTTGTTCTGACTAGAGTTTACAACCAATATATTTTGAATGATCTATGTATGAAAATACTTGATAGATGAATCAAGAGACAGAGATAGGGCATTTAATACTCACATTGATGAAAAATGGAATGACTAGCATGACAATGGTAAGCTCAGCTGTAGGATTGGTGATTGGGGATAGAATGAAATGGCTGACATCACTCCAAAAATCCATCCCAATTATCAGCGTTATAATCGCCTTTACGATGATGAGTAAACCTATGTAAAGACCACATTGAGCTAGCCAGATAGTGTTTGACGGAGGTTTACCTGAAAAATGAGAAGAAAACACTCAGTATTTGAAGGAGAAATATTTCAATGTCCCAGCCTCAACAGCTCCTCAAACTATATAATCAATTTTGCAAGACTCGGAGATTTAGGGAGGGGTACGCTAGAGAACATGCTAATAAGTGTGTTGGCAAGCTAGTTAATGAGTTGAATGGCAACTTGTTTTTAAGTATTTGTTCCTGGAAAAATGTGCTAAAAGAGGGCAAACTTTGGTAAACAACTGAGGAGAGTTCCGAAGGAACAGCCCATAAACTAATGGCGAAAGTTGCCTTATTTGGACAAGCAAGGAACAATGGTCTCAACTTCGATGCTGATTGTCAAGATAGCCACTGCTCAAAGAAAGAAGCATACCTGAACTTTTATGGACCTTTCTTCCGGAAACCTCCTCACTTGAAAAATCTCCAAGGTCAAAAAATATTATTAGCCTCAAGTTTGTAGGCTGCTATTTTAGCAGCCTACAAACTATTAGTAGTAATACTATTTTTCCAATGTCAGTTGACATCAGTTTACTGGTGTCAGCCTTAAGAGCCTGACGCTATGCGTTCAAGATTGTTCAGTTGAACTCATGAGATAAATGTTGCACAAAACCTAGTAAAACGGGAAGAATTTTTACTTTTTTGTTAATACAAAATTAGCATCATTGATAATATTAATAATTAAACAATATCTTCCAGGTCCTAAAACAGTAAGAAAAGAATGACGATATTTTACTTAGGGTTGATGACGAAATTGCGCAAAAAAATCTTTGTGAGCATGCACAAACATTTTGTTGCTTGGCATTTTACGAGAGGGGGAAAAAGGAATACTAATGAAAAACAGTTAGTAGAGACATAGTTCAAGTATGCACATTTATTTTTGGGACACTAGTTACTGATTTAAACTGAGGCTAAAAAGAGTGCTCAGCAGAAAAAAATTTCACTGTTCATAGGAGGAGGGACTTCAGTGCACACAAAGTGATTATCAGGAGTGAGGTTTTTACCAAGTTAGAGAGAAAAACTGGCATTAGGGTTTCCGACAAACAATATCTTATAGCTCCCTTAAGAATAGACCATGAGGATTCTTGTTCTTGCATGTGCCAACAGAAGGTGTAAATTTGCATCATAATTTTACAATTTGGAACCTGAAACGTAGCAGTTTATGAAACTTTAAGTACTTTTTTCCTCGTAACTACGTTTTTGAACTGCAAACCTCAAACCATTATAGATCCAATTTAGACTGACAAACTTGGACATTTATTGTTCCAAATTGTCGGAAACACTTCTTTTTGCGAAAAAGCAATAGTTTTAAAATTATAATTTTTCTACTGAAGTCTTTTTTCATGAAAACAGTTACAATAAATGAAATATTGGAGGGTTGTTTTTGTGGCTTACCATATTCACCAAATTTTAAAACCTCTAGCTTCAACTCCTTTGCATAAAACTGAGATAGACGAATGCCAACATAAATTAGGAACAAACCAAGAGAGGAGTCGAGTAAAAAATGGATGACATACCTAATTAACAGAAAACATGCGAGGAAAAAAATAAAAGAGGGCCTGATCAAAAAAGGAGAAAAATCATGATGTATAAAAATAAAAGTACCTATAGGGGATAATTGTTTGAGTTTTTTCTTTTTAATTATTTCAAAGATTTCCCATCAAAATTATTAGCTTGGTCAGGGAAATAACACAAACAAATTAATAAAAATATCAAAGTCACAAACCAGGCAAAAAAGAAAAGAAAACTGTAATAAATTCATGCAGAATAGTAAATTAAAACACAATAATCCGTGAGATAGCCATAGGGAGATTGCGGTTGTCATAATCAAGATTGAGACGTGAAAGAAAGTTGCGAGAAAATAATAGATAAAAGGTCTCAATGATGTTAAGTCACTGCTGTATTAACCAAATTTACTTACTCTGTTTTCATTTGCAATATTTTTGGTTATTGCTCACATGCGAATTTAGAGTGCATCGACTTTAATAATTGATCTTCCAGATTTTGTGATCAAGAAAAAGACTTGTGGAAGATAAAAAATAAAATAGAATGGCCATTGATGTTATTTGTGAAATGGATACACTCGAATCCTTTTGGATGATGGAGCAGGTCTGTGCATGAGTAACTTCGTCACCAAGCATGAAAACCATTCATAAATTTGACTAATGTTGATTCCCACAATATTTGTTCACAGATTTAAAACTCAATTTCACAACCTCAATTTGACAGATGAAAACTAAAGACTGAGGTGATATCCAAAATCTGACTGAAAAAGGCATGATTGAATTAAGAGGTGATAATTCCAACATTTATTCATTCTATGCTGAGAAAAATGTTACAAGAAAGTGCATTCTTAGCCCCTGCAATTCATGCTACATTTATTTTATGAAAATTTTTGATCATCTTGAAATTGGTTCCTGTCAGAAAAATTTTTCTCCCAACTTTCTTCTCTTACATTTTGGCTTAGCTAAGTACTTCCAAATAAAGGACTTTCAAAATGCTGAACTGGGAAAAAGTTAATTTTAATAAAACTCTCAGTAAGTCATTATAAAATTCTTATTGCTCTTCCAACCATCTCTTTCTTTTAAGGTACATTTTTAACATGAAAAACGAAACCGACATGGTCTTAAAACTGTTAATTTTGAGCACTTGTAAGTGTATGCCTATCTTATGGAATTCATGAAAGTTTTGGTACAACATCACTTTTCTACCCCCGACTGAACTTACAAAGGTCTCAGCTGGAATGGAATGATTTCACTGTAAGTGGGAATAAATATTATTATTTTAACCAGAAAAATAACATTCTGCCTTTCAGCAGGATGAAAAACGAGCACCCTGTAAGTGTGAAATTCAGAGGAAAGTTAACTAGATTTACAGGTGGTAGATTGAGCTCGTCTCTAAGCGGGTCACTCGCTGATGCTTCCTGACACAACAGAACAGGGACCTTCTTGAGGATTGAAATAAATTAGACCAATATAAAAACAGCTCATTTGAGTTATGTTAAACTTACCATGTGCATGGGTCTCCTTGAAAACTACTCGCAAGAATAATATTAGACATGTGCATTACAAGGGCCCCCATGCCCTGTTTTGAGGTGTCATAGAACCAGATCCGCCATGGTCGTCTTTCAAATGTGGGCTCGCAAAACCGTTTCACTGAAAAAGAAACAAGAGCACACTGAGCAAGACATGTAAAGTGGCAGATCCTGCTGATACTGATGTGACCACTGACCTACCATCACACAAGGTAAAAAATCGAGTGGTCTCGGTCCATCACTTCATCGCCAGATAGCCTTTACTACTTAAGATCTACCCAAGGGGGTGGCAGGCCTACCACCCCCTTAAATGCAGGGTCAGGCCTGGCCCAGCATTTCAGAATTGAACTGGGGAAAATTGCTGTCACAAAAGAGAAACAGAAAGCTTGTATGGCCTGAAATCGGCTGAAGGAGTTTCAGTCGCCTCCTCTTTTCCCTCTTGCGGTGTAAAAAGAGATAGTCAACCAACTATCCAAACCACTACATCTATGATTCTGCCAGCGGGCTCGATCATATCGCTACCCACTATACTTCACTGAAAAGTAGGTAAACTGACAGAAGAAAAAAACCCAGTTGCTTCTTGCCCAGCCCCGGAGAACCCTGAAATGGCGCCCCTGGAGCAACCGTTTCCAATAGGTAGGCTCAGACAATTAGACAAATCTAGAACCAGTGGTACTTCTGATTAGTGGTGTCAGAGTCATTATAAGATCCATCTGCCTTGTTAAACCATGCAATAAGTCGACAGATAAAAACAAAAACATTAATATAGGGACAACTTACGAATTAAGCAAGTGAAAGCAAGGCACGCTAGTATTCCTTGAAGTAACCATCCTATGACACCAGTCAGAGCATCTTTGCCACAAGCATGACTAGAAGGTAATTCCATGGTTGTAATTTCGTTATTCACATTCTTGAAATGAAATTCATGATTTCATGGTTGGATGTCAGGGAAAAATTCACATAAAAAAAATAATTTAAATCTGCGCGAAACAAAACAATAACATAACCTTAGTTAAAATATGATTCTGAGCAAAACTGCTTTTCATTGGCTAATGCAAGCTTTTACATTTTTACGTCATCGGGAAACTTTCAAGATGGCTGACCTAGCCCACTTTCCCTCCTCACCCCTCCCCATCGCGTAACGAAAGCATTCAAGTCCGCGATTCTGCGTGATTCTGCAATCAAGACATTGAGTTTGAATTTTTTGAGTGTATTGTATCTAACCCTATTGATTTTCAGTGCTCGTTGTGTGATATCATGTTTTGAAGATAACAATACTGCCCTCCTTTGCCAGCATGAGGTAAGCGGGCTTTGTTGCTTGTTTGTTTTTCAATGGATTCTCATCCTAACAACAGAGGCTACTTTCAGTTCTATTTCACTTACTTTCCCCCTTAAAATTACCACTCAATGGAGAACTCCGAAATTGTCTCCCTTCACCTTTTTACACGAAGCTTTTCCTTCAGTTTGCGAGCCATCATTAGTTTTTTCGAAGGCTTTTGATGCGAGTCAAGAATGACAGGCGCACCTGTTTGTTTACTGAATCAAACACCTGTTATGTCAAGCTATTTTTACACTTTCTGACTAGTCTTTCAGGGTTTTTTCAGCAGAACCGAATTAGACTCATGGTTTGACATTGTTGATGGTAGAGGGACAGCATGATTATTACAAATACATACCTAATTCATAGAGCCCACTGTAATCCAGGAATGTGATGAACAGTCACCTCAACAATTTTTGCATAGCCTTATCTAGAGCAAGAGTAAGACCAAATTATTTCATAAATCTCCAACCGATTTTGCTCTTGCAAACTGTATCTGTGAGACTAAGCAGGGATAGTCATTTATCTCCTAACATATCTATATTATCAGACCACGAAATAATCGTTAATCCAAGGGCCGCAGACTGTTAAGGGCTCTGTTAGCAGGTCTCTTACAGAAATCATAGCTATAGCAACAGCTAAGCAGAGACGGTTGCCTTACACATGAGAGCGCAATAGAGGGTCCAAAGAAATTGTAGATGGTTTTTTTTGTGGAATTTTGTTGATCAACCATTTGTCCCAGATTGGATGTTGGCGATCTCTGTAAGAAATCTGTCAACTGTAATTTTGTGAAAGTTATGGTTGGGATGAAGCCGGAATCACACTCTGAATGTGGCTTGAATGTGAAAGTCATAGGCCTGACGCCTGAATTTTGCACGCGTCCCGCCGTCAAAATTCAGCAATGCCGCATCGGATAATGTCAGATTTGTCTGGACTATTCGAATAGATTTGACCCAAATCTGGACAACAATAACTTGAATTTACGAAATTTCAGCTCTTGAGCGATGGCTATTGACTTCCCTATTCAGCGTGTGATTCCGGCATTATTATCCAGTTCAAGCTCAATAGAAAATGAACCAGAGATGTCGTGTTGACCCACTGAAAAACCCTGGAAGTTAAAGTTTTTTGAACTCACATTGCCCATTTCGAGGTTTTGAGGAGTTCAAGTGCTTAAAAAATAGATATTAAGGTGATTCTTCCCAGGAAGTAAATGAACATCTAAGTACGTATCGACACATGTTGCCAAAATACTAGTTTTGCTTTTCTTTCTTCGTAAAAAAAGAAAAGCAATAGTGTAGGAAAATACCTCAGCAGTCCGTTGGTGAAAGATCTCTTCTGAAAACTCTGAATTAACGCCAAATATCCCATTCGATTAGTAAAATCAAACTGGTCCACCTGGGAGGATTCGCCTTAAATAACTAAATTCCGCGGCCCGATTATTGAAAGTTTAAGCAGCTTGATGAGACATTGATATGCAATATATTTTATGGTCAAGATAGGGCTATGTCTTGTCTTGTCAGGTCGACATAGTTTCAATGATCGAGCTGCTGTAAACTTGTTGCTTTCCTGATTAAACATTTTTAAAAATGTGATTTTGTTGTGATTAAGTAGTTGTAGATTTTGACAATTTTTATAGTTTTTCATTTTTCCATGTTCCTGTTTGTGTCTTTTGCAGGCTTGAAATCACCTGCAGTTTCTCTTGACCTAGGAGTGTTACTGACTGGAGTGGATCGCCAAAACCTCCATAATGCCTCTAAATTCCGGTGATTGATTTTTCCACATCATATATTGTTTTAATCTTTTCTTGAATGGTGTCTTTCTTTCTTTTAAAGTTTATTTGATGTTCAGAATGATGCTCTTCCTCGGTTTAATAATAATCAAAAAAACCTCAGATTGAAAATCTGCCTTGAAAAAAATGACAAGGCAGATAACACACCACTTATTTATTTATCATGAACTTGAACTTTTTTCTTTGTGTGGAAGCCGAATAATGACCATGTAAATCACCATTGAACGAAGAAAAATATGTATCCTCATTGTAATGTCTCAAAACTCTGGCCTCTGCTATTTCATTTTCATTTTATCAAAAATGTCATCAGATCTTTTTGCTAATTTGCAGCAAATATTCGTTGAAAGACAAGAAGGAATACCTATCGTAGGCATCCTTCATAATATTAAATGTAAGTAGAAAAATGTTCAAAGTTGCCAACCAAAATAAGTAGTCTGTAGTTCTACTGGCAATATGAGATAATCCCACTCTTATCAGGGTTGTCTCATTTATTTATGCCTATCATCTGCAGGACTGGGAAAAAGTCAGAAGGGATTACCTCAAGCAAAATGCTCTTATTTTGAATCTTGGGCCATGAGGCACTTTTTAAAAGTCATGACCTTTTCTCTTTTTTGCTCATCACTTAAGTATTAGTTCATTTTGCAAATAAAAATCAGAGATTTGGAAAATTGGAAATTTCTTTGCGAAGCGAAAGCATTAAGCTTTTAGAACTTTTGGCGCCCCTCAACATTAGGAATTTTTCCCCCATTTGTTTCATTTTGTTAATTTCGTTTTCTTGTTTATTTCAGACATATCAACTGCTCTGCAGTTACTGGAGCATATTCAGTCAGAAATAGAAAAATCAGGGGACCCAAAATTACAATCACAAACCAATGAGTATCTCATGTTTCTCATTTCTACCTTAGAAAATCCCATCTTGAGGACAATAGCCTATGTTCAGGTAACGACAAATTTTTTTCACTCTCATTTCCTTTAGGATTAAGTGAATTGCATCTTGCAAAAAGAAACCAAGAGCATTCCAATGTTGCTAGGATTGTGCAACTTACATTCTTTGAAAATAATAACTGAAATCGTACAAAAAATCTTCAATTTATTTTTGTAATTTTTTTCTTAAATTCATATTCTAATGGGAGTATAGATAAAACTTGTTTAGATGGTCAGCTAATATTTGCCAGGTTAAGAAAGTTGCACACTCTTAGCAATCTCATGCTCGTGGGTCCTTTTTGCGAAATGCAATCCAAACAGCGCCCATGTTTTAGCAGCCACTTTAAGTATTTCTAGATTGCCACAGCTAGTCCAAGATTTTAATCACCTATCCTTCTGATTGGTGTGTCTGGTAAGTTGACAGTTGTTTATTTTTGTCTGTCACCCCCAATAAATAGTTTCAATAATATCTACCTTAGGGCAAAATCTAAGTTTTGAATATCTGGGCTCAACAACAACAAAACAGCATCATATTTGTTGGTCAATCCATGCTTGCTATTGGATTGCATCAGCGTACTCGCTTGCAAATGAAAAGTAAACAACTGCCAACTTATCTGATACGAGTTCTAGTTTACTCCAAAACATCTCATTGTATTTAGAATATGTTTCCATAATTTCATGACATTTCTTGACTCCAAATTTTTACACCACCAATCAAGGAGTTTCTCCTTGTTGAATCCACCTTTTGTTCAGAAAAATTGTAAAATTAAAGCGTTAAGGTGTCTTTATTTTATGAAATTCATACATTTTGTCAAGTCGGTGTCACACCAAGACCAAGGGCAGTTTGCCCCGTCATGCTATGCAAAATTTTACCCATTCGATTAAAAGTGATTTTGGCTGTTGCATCATATTTCAATCCACATTTCATTTGTGTTTTTTGTGTGTTGTGCTAAATGTTTCATTTAAATGATTCAGGATGCTGTCAGCGAATTGAACGAGCAACTGCAACAACATCCTTCGCTGTTACCAGGAGATTTTGATATTTCGCTTGCTGGGGATTTGGTTCTAGGGACTCCATCATCACCGGCCCATTTCACCTCTTCAAACCTTGTAACACCCCCTGAACTTGATGACCAGTGTGTTCCTCAGACTTCTCCTCTCTCTTCGACAGAACAGGTATTTAGTCTCCACTCACTTTCCTATCTTTCGATCAGCCTGTGGTCAACTCAGAGTTCACTAGAATGGTATGCACTACCTAAGTGCATATGGTCAAATAAAGGGTAACATCTACCTGGAAAACGTAGAGAATTTAATTTGATGGATTGCCAAAAGAGAATATAGGTAGAGAGAGAATTAGGTTACCAAAAACAGGATGTTTTAGAACAGACCCTTAAAGAAACATGAAATTCGAATCTCAATTGCGCTGCATCATCATTTACTTCTATGTATTATTGATTGGCAAGTGCAGAAGTGACTCACTATTTTGAAAAAAGATAGTAAATAATTTTTATGCAAAAAAAAAATAGCAAATAATGTCTTTTTCCCCTCTGATTAGTTGAATGTCCTTTTATCACTACCTTCGAGCAGTAATTTGTCACTTCAAGCAGGTTCTTGTACATTTTTAATGTCAAACTTGTCAGTTTTATTTCCAGTAAGTTGTGTGTTGTGTTCTCTCTTTTCCTAATGCTAATTTTAAATTTTGTTTTTGTCCTATTTTCAGATAGCAACACCGGAATCAAAAGATGTAACATTAACACCTATCACCACTGCCTCCTATATTTTAGAGTTTCAAAAAGCAATTGAAGAATCTGCTCAAGGCCGAGAAATTATCACAATCCAGGTAACAAACTTGTAACAGCACACTTACCGGACATTTGACTATATATCTTGTTTCCTCATCTTCGGCAAATTGCTTGATCAAGAAAAATATAAATCACTGCATGCTCCTAGTTTGCACCGAAGACCAACATCAAAACATGTTCTCTCTGCATTAAGTAAGAAAAGAAGGGAGGAAGCCACAAGGAACCAAGGGCTTGGCAAAATTGATTGAGGAAATGCCCGGTTTTTGTCTTTTGCGGGCATTTTGTTGTTTATTTTAGCTTCAGCCTTAGTTTCCCATTTTTAAGCGTGCCTATAGGGCTCGCTTTTTGAAATCACTCGGATGTACTGTAGTACAGCACACCGATCGACCAATGCTTTTCAAGGGGCGGTCCGAATTTTTTTTCCGTCGGATCCGTTCTTTCGTTTTTGAACCGTTATAGTGTCAAGCCCTGAAGGTCATTCATCGAGAAACCGAATTATCCTGTTACTGGAAACCCTTGAGAACATTTTCCCGTGGAAACCGTATTATTTTCTTTCATAGGTACGTCAAATAAGCTTTTCTACGCTCGGAGGACTTACTTTAGAAGTTTAAATGCCGCCATAACTATTTAGCGAATCAGCGTCTTTTCAAAAGCGGTTAAACCCAAGTTGTCTGCATGTCGAGTTTCCAATGATGTCATACCCATCGGCCATTGACGGGTTCATATCACTCAGCAGGCAAACCAATGTACCCCTTCTCCGTCACTACTCTCTAAGATGGCGCTTCTAACCTTCTCTACTCTCTGCCAGAGAGTATGGAAGGTTAGAGGCCCGACTCACAAGGGGAACTTACGAACCTGCTGCCTCCGATTGGGCTGAATTTTTTTTACAGGCTCTATGGACCAAGTCTAGAGGTCAATTTGGGCCGTTTTCCCGAATGCGCAATAGGGAGGGCGTAAAAAATTCCCAAAAGTTGCGTTTTCGGCGTGTGATTTGGTCGTGCGGCGCGTGGCAACACTGACGCAGCCTCTTGTACCACTTTATCGGCCCATCTATGTCGGTGGAGACCAGAGCCCTACTGCACAGGTGCTGGCCCCATGATAGGGAGGTACCGGGTTCGATCCCCGTGTGAATTGTTTACTTTTTATTTTCCGCATGATAACGTTACATTTTATTTTTAATTCTTCATCCGCATTTATAAATCAAGCAGTTCCGATCACTATCCCCCCTTATTTTACGTACATTTTCCCTCGATATTCATTAACATTGATTGCCAATAACCGTATGAAACTTCATTGACATAAATTAATGAATTAAAAAGCAAAGGGCCAAAATAATGTGTTTCTTGGCGGCCCTTGCATGCACATGGGTTTGGGGTTGCTCTTCGATTTATTTACACATTACATATTTTTCCAGGAAAACATTGGGAGATAATGTAGTAACAAATAAGGTTTTCTTTTGCTTTTTAATTCATTAATTTATGTCAATGAAGTTTCATACGGTTATTGGCAGTCAATGTGAATAAATATTGGGGGAAAATGTACGTAAAATAAGGGGGGGGGGATAGTGATCGGAACTGCTTGATTTATAAATACGGATGAAGAATTAAAAATAAAATGTTACGTTATCATGCGGAAAATAAAAAGTAGTCAATTCATTCGAGGACCGAACCCGGGACCTCCCAATCATGGGGCCAGCACCTGTGCAGTAGGGCTCCAGTCCCCACTGACACCGATGGGCCGATAAAGTGGTACAAGAGGCTGCTTCAGTGTTGCCACGCGCCGCACGACCAAATCACACGCTGAAAACGCAACTTTTGGGAATTTTTTACGCCCTCCCTATTGCGCATTCGGGAAAACGGCTCCAATTGACCTCTAGACTTGGTCCATAGAGTCTGTAAAAAAAAATTCAGCCCAATCAGAGGCGGCAGGTTCGTAAGTTCCCCTTGTCAATGCTAGGTAATTGAAACAGAAGTTGGAGCCGTGAGCAAGCAGTTGCGTACGTCGGCGCGAGAGTGCGCGGCGAGCGGAATCCCATACCACTGCGCTGATTGGCTAAGCGAGAGTTGCGGACGGACGTAATTTATACACATCTCGTTGAAATGGAAATAGTGCACACACAAGATTTCAGTTCTTCGGCACGCTTTTCCAACATATTCATGTTGGATGTTTCTTCTTGTTTTTATTTTCTTTTATTTAATTTTTGATGTCACCTTCAAAAATGGGCCTGTCGCAAACTTATGCTAGAGCTAAAATAAGAGTTGTTTCCATCAGTAATTGTCTCAAAAATCATGATTAGCGCATTCGCAAAGTTTGAATTGCACCGTTAACTTCGCAATCTGCTTAAAAAATCTGAGTTTTTTTTAGCTTCCCACTTCAAAAATGATACCACAGCACTAATGTTCACCTGTGCCGTAGTGTTGTTTTTGAAGCGGGAAGCTCAAAAAACGCAAATTTCTTACGCAGATTGTGAAGTTAGGAGTGCATTTCAAACTTTGTCGATGCGCTCATCGTGATTTTTGAGACATTTACTGATAGAAACAACTCTTATTTTTGCTTTAGCGAAAGTTTGCAACAGGCCAATTGCCTGGCAAACTGAGGTATAACTTACGCCTGCTAGAATCCACGGATCATGATGTCCAGTGTACTTTGCTCCCCGGAAAATCAAGTTTCCCTCTGTCCCACTCGCTGACCAATGTTACTCTGAAGGTATTTATTCCATTATTTTCCTTTTGATTTCTATTTTCTTTTCTTCTAGTTGATGAAACCAGAAGGTGGAAGTCTCGGCTTCAGTGTAGTTAGTTTACGCAGTGAGGACAAAGGTGAATTAGGAATTTTCGTGCAAGAAATTCAGCCTAAAGGAATAGCAGGAAGGTAAGTCAACCATTCATTACATACTATGATTTTTATCTCATTCATATCGATGGCCAAAGTGCGAAACCATATGTCTTTATTGCAATAATCCAAACTTTCCATTCCTATTTGATTTTTTCAATGAGAAACAGGCCAACTTTATAGCTTGAAATTTGTACAGAACATTCTACTAACAGGGAGGAAAAATCAAAGAAGTTTTCAAGAAATTATGGTGTCTAACTTCACAATGAAAAATCAAATATGACAGGAAGTCTACAATGTTTCAAACGGAGATACAAGGTTCATTTTTGCCATCGATCTATTGGCTGTATACTTGAAATTTTGAAAATGGACCACTGGTCGGAGTCAGGAGGCAAACTTCACAATGTTTGTCAAAAAGTTTGGAAATATTAATTGTCTACTGCCATCTTGCATTTTTTACTTTTTCCAAGAGTTTGAATCTCTTTTATCTGCGGCTCACATTAAAATATTTATATTTCACTTTTTTACAATTTTCTGGAGAAAAATGATGCGAACTTTGGCTAGAGTTTAGCCCTAAAGACACATCTCCATTGGGTGTTTAAAATACTGAAGTAAGTGCAAAAGTGTAGGATTGCTGACATATCGATGGCTAAGTTTTAAAATGCACCTCTCCAATTGCAATGTTGCAAGTATCTGTTCTTCCTTCTTTTAAAAACAAAATTAACCGACAGTTTTTTCTCGGAATGCTTTGTCAATTTTCATCACTCACTCATTAATATTCACAGAAGATTTTCCAGTTAGTGTTATTTTAAAGTATAAAACTTGCAGAAATTTTGAAACGTTGCAATGTAGATACGCATTATTGGAGTTGGATAGGGCCCGCATACAAAAAAATATATGATAGCAAATCGAGAGGGTGCATGAGGATAAGCTTTTGCTAAAACCATTGAATCTACCCCAGTGTTTTTAATCCTTTTGGAGATAAGCATCATTTGCTTCATGCAGCTCTGGCTTGCTCACCTTGCAGAAAATCTTTCAGCCCACCTGTAACATTTCTGGAAGACATATGTTCTATCTGCTCAAGGCCACCGTCTTGGCATTTAATGTCCTTCATTTGCGGAAGGACGTAAGTGCCACCCCAAAACTTGGTCTTTGTGTGACTAAATTTAAGCCAATTTCATCTTCCTAACAATGAGGTTGTGGTGGGTCGAATCATAAACGAAAGAAATTAGAAGCTATTATGTAAATTTTTGATCACTAGCTCTCTGCAGCTTTTACTGAAAAATTTCCTAGAGTTCATTTCTAGGAATGCATTTTACACGCCTTGAAAACTTTGACACACTTTAATCTTCAAGCCATTGAATATCTTTAAGTATGGGGGAATTGACCCCATGTGCTTGATTGTCAATGAATCATCTGATAATTTTATTCAAGGCTGTTTAAAATATCGTCTAATTACTTTCTCGCTCCCCTTGTTTTGCTTTGTTTCGGACATCTTCAAAATTTTAATTCTTTGGCGTCATCTGCATGTCATATATCTATTTGTTGCTGTATGATACTAGCAAAGAAGATCTATCTGAAGGCAATCTGTAGGTCCTCTAAAACAAATTTTTAATGGTCCATGTGTCCTTCCCCTAAACCATTAGAATTTCTTCTCAGAAAATATGTATTTTTGAAGAAAGTTATGAATATGTTTCCTTGAAATTTTAAGGCATCCTAGATCAAATTAAGAACAAAATTCTCTGAAAAATCGGAGGGAAAACATTTTAACATTCTCCCGAAAGTTTAATTTCACACAGAAAATTCAGCAACATCTGAAGGCTCATACGACATCCTCCTTAGCACGGCAGTATAAGCCCGCCATATCGCGATTGTGCAGCCTGTGTATCCACCAATGAGTCTCTAATTTCGTGTCTTCGTAATTTTTTCCACAATTCGCACGTCAATCCATCAATTTCGAAATTTCGAGAATTTCGTCCCACAATGGCACTAATTAAGCACTGAATTATTCTGTTAAGGAGGTCCTGGATGTTTTCGGAAAGTACTATAAAAGTACTGATTTTTTGCCAGCCAGTTTTTTAAGATAGGCACCCCAACAGTCCTGACTTATGTACACAGGGTTGCCACAGTCAGGGAATACCGAGAAATTTCAGGGAATTATGGAAACTCAAGAAAAACCTTGAAACGTCAGGGGAAAATTTTGAAGGCACCTTTAATTGCTTTCTAGAATGGGTTTGACGATTCGAACAACAAATTTCGTCTGAAAACCATCGCTAACTATGTCTTTTCAACCATTTGGCATAACTTGAATTATCAGGGAACTTTACGAAAATGTTCGAGGGAAATCAGGGAATTGTCAGGAAATTTCATTTTCTAGATTTGGTGGCAACCTCGGCTCATACGGGCGCGTGAAAATGTGATAAGGCCTTTGAAATGCGGGACTCAACGATGCTGACGATTCGAACAACAAATTTCGTCTGAAAACTATTTCTAACTATGTTTTTTCAACCATTTGGCATAACTTGAACTATCCGGGAACTTGAGGGAAATGTCAGGGAATTTCTGTTTCTAAACTCTGCGGCAACCGTGCGTACACACGGTAATCACTCAAAGTTGGAACTCTCCCGTTCACAGCCCTCGACTTTCCCGGGAAACTCTGATCCCTAGCTTGACGTCTCCCGCGAAGCGCGTATCGCGAGATATGGCATTTTTCGCACCCCACCCCACTTCACCCGCGGCGTATTTTTCCGCAAGTCGACATGACAGCGCCGCGCTGGGCCGCAACCCGCCTGGCGTCTCCTCCCGTGGCTGTCATGCGCGTTGCCTAGGCGGCCAGGCGCACCCCTCTTGCTGCCCGCAACTCCATACTCATACTGTGCGTCGTAGCCGCCCCGGAATGTCGTGCGTGGCCCAGCCTTGGCCCTCGTCGTCCGCTCGGAGTCCTCCCGTGGACACCCTCGCGCCTCCCTGAGACCCCCTTGGCAAATCCCCGGGATTCCAAATATGTCCGCGTTACGTGTCCCCGTGTCCGTGACGTTGTCGAGGATGTGACGATTGTGACGTCATCGAGAAAGCAAGCTGTGTGAAGAGCAAGCCATCGGTGAGTACCCAGGTGGGAAAGCACCTGCCCGTCAGCTCCCTCCATTTCTTCCAATTGTGTCTCAACTTTCTTCTCCAATGCTAATATTTTTCCCTCCTTCGAGGATCAGCAGTAACCCTCCCGTGAATGTCTCTGCTCAGATAGTTGGTTTTATGGATTTGTCAGAAATACTCGTTCCTTATTGCAAAATTTAGTCCGTATGGGCAAGGTTGCCACAGTCAGGGAAAATCGGGAAATGTCAGGGAATTTTAAAAAGTCAGGGAAACCCGGGAAATTTCAGGGAAAATGACGAAAATGTTAGGGAAATTTTGTTACATCACCTTCATTCGCTTTCTTGAATGGGTTTGAGATTCTGAACAAGAAATTTTGCCCGGAAACTATTTTCAATTATGTCCCCTTAACCATCCGTCACATCTTCAATTGTCAGCAAATTTCACCAAAAAGTGTCGGGGAAATGTCAGGGAATTTCATTTTCTTTTTTTGTGGCAACCCTGTATGGGCTGTGCTAGGATGCCGTGAAAAAGAAACGTATCGACGACAACATTTCCGAATCCACGCATCTGGGTTGCGGTGTTGCCAAGTTTCTCTCATATTTATCATTGCGTTTTTGACGAAGAACGCTCCTGCTTTTTGTGAAAACGCCGCCAGACGTGCAAGCCATTATGAAAGATCGGACGTAAGGTTTTTGACCAGAACTCCAGATTTTTATGTTCATTCCGTCATATTGTAAATTTTAAGGGGTGATTCTTAAAGAATATTTTACGAGAAGACGAATGGAACCACTCTATGAACTTCTAACTTTCGTACCAACGAAGGTGCAAGCCTTCGAAGTGGTCGATCTCTTCCAACAGCCCGCTCTACTGTGCACCGTATGAAGATTCGAATGTTGCCAAATTGTGCCCTATGAAGTATTTATTTTTCAAGAAAGTTATGAATATTTTTACATGGAAATATCAAGTACACCACAACAAATTTCCGAGAATATTCTCTGAGGAGTTCATAGGAAAACTGCCTCAAGTTTTTTTAGAAAATTTGTTTCCTATCGGAGGAAATTTGGCAACGTCTGAGTGTTCGCACGGCGTTTTTATTTTCTACAGCAGAACGAATCATTATCATTTCTCGAAGTTTTCCCAGAATATTTTTCGCGCGAAGAAGGAAAATCACGAAAGTTTTCAGTCGACTACGTTGAAAAGTCTTCCACTGCAATGAAGAATGACAAAGAGGCTGTAACGACGTGAATGGAAATGCGCACGGTGGAATAATGTAAAAACGTCGAATAGGTACTCATTTTTAACATTTATCGTGCGAGTTAGACGTTCCGCGAGGAGTTAAAATTCCAGACACAGGCCGAAAAACCACTATGTAGACGAAACTATACCTCGACTATAGGAGTTAGTACGTCTATCTACCCCTAACTCTGACGTATTTTCGTATACTTGGTGTTTTTTTCGTCTGCATCTGGAGTTCTAACATATCGACATTTAGAGAGATCTCGCGGAGCGTCCAATTCAAAAATAAATGTTGCAATCTTTCACTGTGCATGGGTTGGGATTTTAACTGTAGGTATGAAAAAATTGAAAAAAGCTCTCCTCCCTCTTCCCTCTCAAAAAGCCTCTCCCAGGGGAGCTGAGAATTTTATCGAATTCTGTCACCAATTCTACGTAGGAGCAATTCGATTCATGGAATCACTGAGATTTGAAGCCGCTCAAATTGCATTATCGCCGAAGTGAAGGGGCTTTTAGCCTTTCGTATTTTTCCGTGATTTTCGTTTGTTTACACTTAAGAGTTCGGTAATTCTATGTGCATGGATGATAAAGAATACTGAATTTCGGCTCAACTGAAAGTATATGATAATTCAAGTCCTCACGTGGTTAAAAGTTCCAGCTTGAACTCAAAGATGTTTTTGAAGATACAGCATTGTAAATTTTAAATTGATTAG